CTTTGGTTGCCAATAGGTATACTTTCCGCGACTAACTTTTTTTTTGGTCGCCAAAAGGTGATTTTTCGTGACCAAAAAATTGTGGTCGCCAAAAGTTAGATTTTAGTCGCAGAAAGTGGACTATTTGCGACCAAAAAAAATAGGTGGTTGCCAAAAGTATTTTTTCTTGTAGTGGTAATCTTCCGCGACCAAAAGAGTCTTTGGTCGCCAAAAGGTGATCTTCTGCGACGAAAAAAGCCTTTGGTTGCCAATAGTATACTTTCCGCGATCAACTTTTTTTTTGGTCGCCAAAAGGTAATCTTCTGCGATCAAAAAAGCCTTTGATTGCCATTAGTATACTTTCTGCGACCAACTTTTTTTTTTTTGGTTGCCAAAGGGTATACTTTTTGTGACCAACTTTTTTTTTGGTCGCCAAAAGGTGATCTTCCACGACCAAAAAAGCCTTTGGTCGCCAATAGGTATACTTTTCGCTACCAACTTTTTTTTGGTCACCAAAAGGTGATTTTCTGCAACCAAAAAAATGTGGTCGCCAAAAGTTAAATTTTAGTCGCAAAAAGTGGACTGTTTGCAACCAAAAAAAATAGGTGGTCGCCAAAAGTGTTTTTTCTTGTAGTGGGAGGGAGTTTCAACTTAGTACAAGAAAGTTGTGGTTTTGACAAACTTGAGGCAATGTTTTTAGAGGCTCATATTAAAGATGCAGTGATGTCTTGTGATGGGACCAAAGCACCAGGGCCAAATGGTTTTAATATGGGATGTTTTCAAAAATTCTGGAAAGTGATAAGGTGTGATGTGATAAACTTTTTGAATGAATTCCATAAGAATGGAAGGTTGGTTAAGGGTTTCAATAGCTCCTTTATAACCCTTATACCAAAGAAAGAGAATCCTAAAAGGCTAACTGATTATAGGCCTATAAGCTTGGTGGGGTCAACATAGCAAAGTTACTATCTCATAGATTGAAAGAAGTGATGCCACACATAATTAGTGAAACCGAGACAGCATTTCTAAGTGGGAGGAACATTTTAGATGGTGTGTTAATTGCAAATGAGGTGGTAGATGGGTGGAAGAAGGCAAAGAAGAAAGGACTAATTATTAAGCTAGACTTTGAGAAGGCATATGATTCCATTAATTGGGGTTTCTTATTCTATATGATGTCTCAATTTGGGTTTGGAAATAAATGGATCAGTTGGATCAAGGAATGTGTAACATCTGCTACAATATCAGTGCTTGTTAATGGGTCTTCAACTGAAGAGTTCAGTCCGCAAAAGGGTTTAAGACAAAGTGACCCTATGTCCCCTTTCCTATTTAATTTAGTTGCAGAAGGGCTACATATTTTATTGTCCAGAGCTCAAGCTCTGGGCTTGGTCCAAGGAGTGAAAGTTGGATCAAATGGTGTCATATTATCTCATCTTCAGTTTACGGATGACTCTTTGCTATTCTGTGCAACAGAGGTTGATGAGGTGAGGAACTTGAAAAGGATGCTTAGATGCTTTGAGGTTCTATCTGGGCTGTGAATTAACTACCATTAGAGTGTTGTGTGTGGTGTGGGAGTTCCAGATGAAAACATGGCTGCTTTTGCCTCAATCTTGAATTGCAAAGTAAAGGCACTACCAATCAGCTACCTTGGTTTACCTCTAGGGGCGAATCCAAAGAAGAAATCTACATGGAAGCCTATCTTGGATAAAATTTGATGTCGGCTGGCTGGGTGGAAAAGGAAGTTGTTGTCTTTTGCTGGGAGATTAACACTTGTTAAAGTTGTCCTATCTTCACTACCAGTGTACTACTTGTCACTTTTCAGAATGCCTGAAGGGGTTGCCAAGGAAGTTGAGAGGCTCCAAGCTACATTTTTGTGGGGAGGATCGAAAATTAAGAAGAAAATCCATATGGTTAGATAGGGGGAGCTGTGCAAAAGTGTGAAACAATGAGGGTTAAGCATTAGGAGGGTGAGAGAGGTCAACCTTTGCTTATTACTAAAATGGTGGTGGAGGTTTGGGTGTGAGAGTGAAGCTTTGTGGAAAAGAGTTATGTGCAGCAGGTATAAGTTAAAGAATGCAAGCTGGCTGCCTCTCTCTATGCCTGGGAATAAACAGTCAAATATGTGGAAAGGCATTACAGTTTTTGATGAACATAGAAACAATTTCTAAGAAGTTTTTGTGAACAATTTTCAGTTGATAGTTAGGGATGGTAGAAGGATTAGTTTTTGGGATGACAGATGGTGTCAGCATCTTTGTCTGAAAGATGAGTTCCCAAGTCTATAGAGACTGTCCCTAGAGAAAAGTGTTGATCTGAGGGTTATCTATGATAGGAAAGAGTCTCTAGGAGGTTGGAATCTTTAATTCAGAAGAGTGTTGTATGAGTGAAAGGATGTGGGGCTTCAAAATCTATCGAATAAATTGGAAGCAGGACCTACAGTGAGGGCTGATCAAGTGGATAGGCCTGTCTGGACAGCATCATCTTTAAGTCAGTTTTCTGTAGCCTCTTTGTATAGTTTTGTTGCCTGTAATAGTAGCTCAACTCTTCCAATTACTAAGTTAGTGTGGCTTAATTTTGTCCCCCCTAAAGTTCAAGTATTTGGGCGGTTAGCTTGGAAAAATAGAATTAAGACTGGAGTTTTTACAAAGAATTGGTGTTCTGTCTGGTAATGGGGCTGATCTGTTTATGTTTTGCAAGGCTGATTGTGAGTCAGTGAACCATGTTTTGATCTGTTGTCCATTTGTGTGGAGGGTCTGAACTAATTTATTGAATTGGTGGGGGACTCAAGGGGCATTACCAGGCTCGGTGGATCAGTTGTTGCTATGATGGAATGGAGAAAGGATGAAGAGGCTGGAAAGAAAGATTTGGAGTGCTATCCCACTGTCTGTGCTGTGGTCAATTTGGAAACTTAGGAATTAATGTATGTTTAAGGCAGCTAACCCAAATTTGATGGAGTTGTATGAATTGGTTAAGACTAGGATTGCTCTGTGGTTGATTCGATATCTGAAAGCGTTCCATTTCTCAACCAATGATTTCATCTGTAATTTAGGGCATATCAGAATGTGCTTTGGAGGTGCTTTGTTGTACTGAGCTGGGTGGAGTTTTTATGGGTTTAGTCAGGGCATCTCTGTTTTTGCTAGCCTGTGAAGAAGCCACTTTATTCTTGGTTGATGATGTGTAGATTCAAAATGGGTAAATACCTGATCCAAAAGTCATGGAGGTTGAAGGTAATGCAGATACTATCAGCTGTAGAAGTGTAGGAACTAGGGGTGTTTATGGGAGTTCATAGGTGTGTGGAATGAATTGAAGGGCTACAGTGCAGGTCATGGTTCTTCTCTGCTATCTGTTGCTATCTGCAGTGCACTAGTTTGTGCTGATTTCTATTTGATTTGTCTCCGCCCTAGATCTGTTTACTTGGCTGATGAGAGGTAATGGTTGTGTAAAATGATTTGAAGGGCTGCAGTGCAGCTCATGGTTTATCTCTGCTATCTATCTGTTCTACTAATTTTGCTCTGCTAGAGGATAATGTGAAGTGCAGCTCATGGCTTATCTCTGCTACCTATCTGTACATGGTTCCACAGCCATTTTTGCTCTGTTGCTGTTGGTTCATGTGAAAGGCTTGTGTTTTTTATGGTTTTTCTTCCTTTTTTGTTGTTAGTTTCTCACCAACTGGCCAAGCTCCTCTTTATTGATGTACTCATTCATAATTCGTATAATCCCATCAATAAAGATTTGTTTTGCCGATCAAAAAAAAAAAAAACTTAACTCAACCATAATCCTTGTGTGCTCAAGTTTTGAACGCAAGGTATTTCTCAAACTCCAATTATTGTAATGTTGATATTGGATCAAACTCATTGTATACTTGGAGGAGATTATTGAAAGGGTGCGATTTTGCTTGCGGGTTTGGAATGGAGATTGGGCAGTGGTAACAATATTCAGATCTAGGGATATGTATGGCTTCCGAATCTTTCATTATTTCAAGTAATCAATCTGAGTATCTCTAGCTTGGAGGGTGCTACATATGTTGCAATAATTGATTGGGATAAGAGTTGTTTGAATGGGAATATCACATGGATCAATGGTTGTTTCTGTTTTGAGAAAGAAATGATCTATGCAATCCCTTTGAGCCCCAGAGCAACAGATTGGTCTGGCATTACAGCAAAAATGGGGTTTACATTGTTAACATTGGTTATCTTGTGGCCTTGGTGATGGGTAAGGATTAAAAAATTGCCTCTAGTTCATCTTTTTGCTTAAAGTTTTAGAAGACTATTTGGTTTGTGTGAATTCGAGGCATGTAGAATATTAAACTTCTGATTGTCTTCTTAAATATAATCCAAACATGTAGAACGTTAATCATTCCTATTGATATGTTGTGTTCATGTTGGGATACGTGCTAGACATGAACACTCATTGAACACATCTAGCACGTGTTGGACACACTAGAAAAAAAAGTAAAACAAGTTTCAGATGCGTAAAAAACACGTGTCTATTACTTAGATATGCATGAAATTCATTAAAAGAAACAAAAATTAACTCATATTCTAATGTTAAATAAAAACATTGTGGATTTACACTTACTAATTTTTTTCTTTTCCGTTGACCTTTTAAATTTAGGAATTCTAAAGCTAAAGCTTTTAATTTGTATTATGATTACTTATAGTTTACAATATTTGATTTCCATAATGTATGATGTGGAAAATGATTTTGCATTCTTTGACATAATAAAACATTAATATATTTGAACTACTTATTTTTTTTTTATGTTATATTTATGAAATAGATTTATTTGTTGTTAGATAATCGTGTCAACATTGTCCATATCTCGTCATATTTGTATCTGCGCCTCTTACATCTTCAATCCCCCAATCTCACAAAAGAAAATTCTTGTTACTTTTTCTTTTGCATCTTTGAACAAGGTTAATGATAGACTAATCAAGCAGTCTGATGCAAAAACTACAGACTTACTAAAATTGATGATCATTATAGATCAATTTAGCTAACTATCCAAAGCTTCATGAATTTTGTAACAGTACCATGTGTTGAAAACTCAGACAGAGACTTACAGGAAGAAGGTTAGTGCATCATCTAATAATAATTTTAGAACATGCAATTGTTTCTAGCACTTTTTTGTTGTTCCCATTTCAAAATTGTTTTTGGATTTGGATCATTCACTGTTGTTGCAGGTAAGGAACCTGGAAGAAAGGCATGGAAACCTCCTATTGGACTATGTAAGTATCTTGAACCTAAAAGCTGTTAATTTGTTTTCCAGATAAAATACATTTATGCGTCCTAAATTAAGTTCATGCCACTTTCATCCTCTAATTATAATTTTGTCCTTTAAATATTCAAGTTGATTCAAATTAAATAAAATTCAAATGGACATTTTAAATCATTAATGGATTATAAAATACACCTATGATATTCAGACTTTGAGAGCTACAGTGACAAGGAACCCATCTTTTAGGGATCATAGATGAATCGTATTACTATTATTTTGTTACCTATTTAGACAAATGTTTGAAATTGGATTAATTTGGCTCAAATTGAAAATTTAACTGATAAAGTTGAATCTTAAATTTCCAAAACAGTAAAAATATATTCATAGAACTTATGCACAAAGATATACTTAGAAAGATAAGGTAAGTCCATATTCAACTCTTATATGGTAAAATTCACACCTTGAATGAATTTGAATCAGTCAATAAGTTTTCTAAGTATTTTTTTTCTTATAAATTCTATGTATTGACTAAAATGAGAGTTGGGGTACTTATGCCCAAGGCACAGTAGGCCTAGTTGCCTCTCTTGGGTGGGCTTATTTCGAGAACATCAAGATTATATGAACGGTTCATCATTTAAAATGTGCTAAACAAATCATTCAAGTAAGGAAGTAGATTAATTGAACATCGGCAAGCACGTGATCCTATCACATTTGTTTTTAAAAAATGAATAATAAATGTGATTTTGAAAATAAACTTTCTAATTTTTTTTAAAACAAATATGATCTGATCATATAGCTATCAATATGCATATAGTTTAATTTTGGGTAAATTATAATTTAACCACTTGTGGTTTACCCCAAAAACATGGAACCCCCTTATAATTTCATTTGTAACACTTAAACCCCTAGACTTTATACTATGTTGTAATTTTTTACGGACGTAACAGAAGTGCATAAAACGATGTAGTTTTGTGTACCGCCTGATAAAAAATAAAATAAAAAAAAGAAAAAACAAGAAAGGAAGAGAGAAAGAGAGTGAGAGTGAAAGTTAGAGAGAGAGATTGCAACCAAACCCAGTTCTTTCTCAGCTCAACAATGGCTTGTCTACAATGGCTTCAAGGGTTTTACCAACAACAACAACAACAACAACATAAGCCTAAACGGTGTTGCAAAGATCCACAACAATGGTTTCCTCCAACCTCGGCATCGATATCAATGGCATGATCTCTAATGATTCGGTGAGCGTTGGGTATTATGTACAAGGCAATTCAACAATGCAATCAATCAATCTCAAGAGTGGGAACATGATTCAGGGATGGATCGACTACGATTCTGCCAAAAACGAATTGAATGTCTCGCTTTCACTCTCTTCGACAAAACCCAGTTCTTTAATTTTGACATTTCAGATCGATCTGTCTTCGATTTTTGAAGACACCATGTATGTAGGCTTCTCTGCTTCAATAGGTCTGCTAGCGAGCTGTCATTATATACAAGGTTGGAGCTTCAACATGAGTGGACAAGCTCAATCTCTCAATCTATCTTCTCTACGCTCTCTTCTTGGACCCAAACAGAGAGGGCACACAGCATACACACACAGAACACACACACTCTCTCTCTCGGCAGTGAGGGTGGAGTGGGGAAGAAGAAACACTCACACCACCACAGATACTCATTTTCCTCCTCCCAGCACAAGGCCATGTGACGGGTGGAGAACAAGCGAGAGACTCACACACACACACACACACACAGAGCAACACCAAACCAATCCCTCTCTCTCTCTCCTGTCACAGACAGATACACACATACACTTGCTCTCTCTACCCACTGGCTGACAAGAAAAACCAACCAACGAACCCATCTCTGAGACAGAGAGTTTCAAAGCCATGAAGTGAGGAGAAAACACAACACACTCTCTCTCTGTGGGCTGGAGTGGTGTTGAGAGTGAGGTGGTAAAAGATATATTTTGTTTAGAGAAAATGTTTAGAGAGATGGTGGGTCTCGGTGTGCATGGGCAGGGGGCAGTTTTGAAGCTGAAAACAAAACAAACATAGATGGACACAACACACAGGTTGTTTTGCTCGCTGGTTTGATGGTAATGATCAACACATATATCTTTCTCTCTCTAAACTCTCCGCCTCATGAGAGTAGGCTTCTCGACCTCACTCCAGACCTGAGCTTCCTTCACTTCAACTACGTCAGAGTTTCGAGGAACTGTGAGGGGATGATGATGATGAAGAATGTCGCTACCTTAACCATTATTTGCATGTCTGCTGTGCCATGCTTGTGCTTGCTCTTGATCTGATTTTAATGTCAAATTCGAACTTTCTCTCTCTTCCTTTCTTGTTTTTCCTTTTTTTGATTTTATTTTTTATCAAGCGATACACAAAACGACGTCGTTTTGTATATTTCTGTTACGCCTGTCAAAAACTACAACATGATATAAAGTCTAGGAGTTTAAGTGTTATAAATGAAACTATAAGGGGGTTCCGTGTTTTTGAGATAAGCCACAGGGGGTTAAACTATAATTTACCCTTTAATTTTTGTATGAATTACTTGTTTGGCGAATTTTACAATTTAAACAAACCCCATTCATGGGTGCAGCAGGGCCTGTTGTACCCAGGGTATAACATGTACCCAAACTAGCAAGAGGGTTCCTGCTGCTATAAAGCTTGTGGGAATCCATTGCGAGCCTCTTTCAGAAGATTGTTTATGAAAAAATTTAGGTTAATTGGATATTCAAAACTATATGACAGATCACATTTGTTTTTAAAAGCATAAACGGCAAGCATACTTTTGATAATAATTAAAAATTATTGTTTTATAATAATTAGGCCATGATTATAGTTATCAGTGTCTGATCAACTTAAGCTCTTACATAAATAATATGCATGATAGGTTCTATAAATTGAATGGTTCCAATAGTTGAAATAGGCCTGGGATAGGCCTAACCCAAGTATCACAGCACATAATTTTAGGAACATTAGTTAGTTTTATCTTCTTCTTCTGCTTCTTTTAATATTTCTGATTCATTAATAGTCTTCTTCTTTTAATTTTTCTGATTCATTAATAGTTCTTTAGTGTATTAAAGTTAGAGATTTTGATTCTGTAATTATGGGCTACTATAGAATTTGATGTATGTAATGTAGGAGGCCAAATGTGAAGATCCACAGTATGGGTTAGTGGACAACGACGGAGACTATGACTCCGCAGCTGCTTTGTCAAATGGGGTCTCAAACCTATATGCATTCCGGCTGCAACCAAGCCACCCTAACCTTCACCATGGTGGTGGTGGAGGAGTACCAGGAGGATTTGGGTCTCACGATCTGCGTCTTGCTTGAGTGTAGCTGCTGGTCATGGTGAATTTAATTGAAATTGAAGTGAAGTAATAGACTCCCTCTATTGTGTGTATACATCTCTACTAGTTTTATTCTTATAAGTGTTACAACCTAAACACCAGAACAGCTTTTGGTGATTTGTGTGAGGATGTGTCTCTTGTGATGGTATGTAACATAACATGTTGCTTATATATATCTTCATAGAAAAGTGATTTTGATGTTATTATCTTACTTTAAAAAAAAAGAAAAAGAAAATTAAATTCTTCAATGTGTTTTTAAAGTTGGAATCAGTTGTCTTCTTGTCCTAACAATTATTAGAAGGTGCTGCACCTTGGTTTGATCCATTTGATCGATGCAATTTAAACTCCTTTTTTTTCTTTCCTTTCAATTTGGCAAAAGAATTTAGCAGTTTTTGACATTTTATAACTAGGTTGGTTAAATTTTGAGAATGAAGTCAGTTCAGAGCTTGTACCTGGTTTTTTTGTTTTTGTTTTTTCACCATGATTGTCAAGCCTTTGTTGATGACCAAAACTGAACCTCAATAGCAGTTACTTTCTCTAGCTTCCTGTAGTAACCTCGTACCCACTTTCCTCTCTCGTATCTAAACAAGCCACCAAAAACGAAGCTCTTCCGCAGTCACCTTTTGAACTTCTATCCGTGTTGAGCTTTATTTTGCTAGGAAAAAGTCCATTTAACAAGATGTGAATGCTTTTGAGAGGTTGAAATACCCAGTAAAATTTGAAAAGTCATAGATTTGGCTATAGCATATATCTCACAGCATCCTTGTGCATTTAACTTACTGTCATAATTTTTTTTTTCTTTTTTTCTATTTTTGGATTTCCAAATTTGCAAAGAGATAGATGCAAAGCTAATCTACCCAAAGGTACCATTCAGGTTTTTAGATTTGTCTTTTATGTTATGCTTGATCCAATATTGAAGGGGTTCTCAAATGAGTAGAGTTTCTCTCTAGTTAACAGTTGTGGATTGGATCATGCAGTCCGACTTGGTGGACCTACCATATGCTCCACCTTTGTGATCTGATAATTTTAACATGATTTATCCTATTTTTTTGCCCAAAGAAAAACAATAAAAACGACTTATGTTTATACTAATACTTCTCATCTGTTTTTGTTGGGATGGTTCAAATTCCTAATGTAGTTATTTCGAATATAGTTAGTTGCTTCATGTTCTAATGAGATTGTGGTGTAAAGATGCTAGGCCAAGTTTGGCTACAAAGAAAAAAGTGCACTTATTTCATCTTTTTATCTTTTTTGGGTCACATTAATCAACATCTCCTCTCTACTTTTTCTATACATAATACAAAAAAAGTCAAAAAATGCACTTATTTAGTCTTTCCAAACTAGGCAGTGTGGTAATTCAAAATCTTTTAGCTTATTGGGGTAAACCAACAAGTTCTAAAAATGAGCCCAACCCAAGTAAGAAAGCCCATCAAGTAAATGTCCAAGGTAATCAAACTCATCTTTATAAAAGAAGAGCATCTCATAGAAAAAGGTATGTCACATCTCTACAACACACACATTTTACAAGTTCTTCATCTATTCTCTTTGAATCAAGAATTCTATTTTTATCATTGGAGTATCCCGGCCGGCAACCTCGGTTGGGTGGTGTCAATCATGTTTATCTTTGCAAATCTACTGGCAAAACTCATATTTTCATTGGATCTCTTCAACAATTCATATAAGAGAATTTTTTGAATCTCACAGGAGGTTATTAGATAATTGTGCACATTTATTTTTGTCCATGTATGCAAGTGTTTCACATTCCACATACCCTTGTTATGGGGTGTTTGGCAAGAAAAAAAATAGCCTAGTTTAGGCTAAAATTCACAAAAAGACAAAATAGGCTAAAATAGCTAATAAGACAAAATATCACATCAAACCCATAATCATTTCACTTTTTCTCTCACAAACATCACATCGAACTACAAAAAAATCCAATCATCTTCCCAAACATAAAAATTTTAGCCTATTAAAATAGCCAAAAACTAAAATAGCCTACTAAAATATCAACTTCCCAAACGAAGCCAAAGGTACATTTCTAAGTATGGGTAAACGGAAAAGGAGAGAACAAGTGGTGCGAGATGTTCATGTGAAAGCCGAAAACTCAGATGGGAGGTGTGTTCTTCGGGTATACAAGTGATTCAAGTTTGGGTGTTTAAACTTTAATTTATTATTGTACTGTTTTATTTTTTATACTGAAAATGTTTCCTCTACCAGATGTAGGCAGAGTTTTTACCAATTTATGTAAATCTTATATGTTCAATCATCCTTATTTGATTCTATAATGATACTTTGTATAGTGCGTTATTTTTTAACCTCAGTTATTTTTTTGTTATGTCCGAGCAAGTTTTTTTTTTTTTTGGTTATCAAATATAAGAAATAATGTGACTAATTATTAGGTCATTATTAATCTTTGAACGCAAGATCTATGAACTAAAGTCTATAAAACAAATTAATCGTGTTAATATTAAATGTATTATATCATAATTAACATGTATATATTATACTAATGTAATGCATATATTAAATATACATAGTTATAGGATGCCAGAGCAGCCTCACTTTCGGCTGCTTGCTTTCGGCTACTTTAGTTTATTTTATGCTCCACTTAGTTTATTTTATGCTCCACTTTCATCATAATGTTGTATCACACAACTCCTATAAATGGAGTCCCCTCTCACTCCTTCAGATATAGAATACAAGAATTTCTCTTACTCTCTTAATATCACTCTCTTATTTCTTTCATGGTATCAGAGCACAGGTGTATTGCCTAGTCTCTTCTGCATCGCATTTTTTAGCAGATTGTTGCATATTTCGTCCTTATCTGAATTACAGATTGGACCACACCAGAACCTTCGTCTCCTCACGACGAATCCAATGCCACCAGATTCATCATCATCCGACGCTCCACGCGCCGCCACGCGCCGCCAGAACTTTCATCCACGCGCCTCCTCGCCTCTCAGACGCGCTTTACGCGCCTCACACTTGCCCTGTGCTATCGTGCGCCGCGGCCTCATCTGCTAACGTGAGCCGCGTGTTTTTGACGTCAGCTGACGTCAGCCCTGGCTGCTTCCGTGTGCCGCTTGCTTCCTCTGCTATCGTGCGCCGCGCCCGTCTGTGCTAACGTGCGCCGCGCCTGTGACACAGCAGTGACGTCATCTTGACCAGATTGTGACGTCATCTTTGACCAGAATTGTTGACCAACTTTGACCAGCCAATTTAGTGCCTTCTGGTCATCTTTTTTTTGGTCCGTTCACTCATTTCCCACTAATTTCGACCCTCTGAATTCACTGGTAACCTCAGATTTTTCAGATTCGGCTTCGATAATACTGCTTTTTCCTCATGGATCGCTTGGACTCCTCCAACCACCCTATTTCCGTTGTTCTTGACGGAACTAACTATGTCTTATGGGCACAAGCTATGTCTGGGATTCTCTCTCCTACGTGTTACTTCTCAAGTCTCTCCTCCCACTTTTCCTAATTTTTAATCATTTGTCAATTATCTAAATCTCAAAAACCAAAAGGATTATATATATTTAAATAAAATGATAAATATTTAAATATGAACAACAAAGAGGTAGAGATAAAAATATAAGGGGGATGCACCAATAAATCCCAAATTAATAACTTATACACTGTTTAGTCCTAAAAGTTTTCTTATAGACTGAAAGGTCCCATTACAATGTTTCAAACATCAGATTAATGTTTCGAACATTAGATTTCGAACATCAGATTAATGTTTCAAACATTAGATTGATGTGCAAATGGGACTAAATGGAGCATAAGAAAACTTTTAGGACTAAATGGTTCAACTTTTCAGAAACTAGGACTTATGGGTAAATTTTCCAAAATATAAAATAAAAAGATAACTATTCAAATTTTAACTACAAAACAATATAAAGAGTCAAATAGAAGATAAAAAAATAACTATATAAAAAATATTACGAGTCAATTAATTATAAAAATAAAAAGTAAACTATTTATATATGAACAATTAAAAAAAATCTCCAAACTCTTAATACTAAACTCTTATGAATTTTCTTTCCTACGTGTTACTTCTCAAGTATCTCTTCTCACTTTTCTTAATTTTTAATCATTTGTCAATTATCTAAATCTCAAAAACCCAAAGGATTATATATATTTAAATAAAATGATAAATATTTAAATATGAACAACAAAGAGGTAGAGATAAAAATATAAAATAAATAAAATAAAATGATAACTATTCAAATTTCAACTACAAAACAATATAAAGAGTCAAATAAAAGATGAAAAAAATAACTAAATAAAAAATATTGCGAGTCAATTAATTATAAAAATAAAAATTTAACTATTTATATATGAACAATTAAAAAAATTAAATAAAAAAAAATGTTACGAGTCAAATGATTTTTAAAATAAGAAGGTAATTATGTATGTGTGAATAACAAATAAATATACATGAAAAAATATACAAAAATAAAAATATAGCTATTTAATGAAAATTCAAATAAAAGATAAAAAAATATTTAAATATAAAAAAAAGAATAAGATTGGGATATAAATATCCCAAAAAGATGATAATTTTTTTAACGATCTATATTTATCTTTTGTTAGTTTGTTATAGAATTTCTATATATTTCAACTTAATCTTTTTAAAGTTTATCTTTAAGTGGAACTTAATATTTTATCTTTTAAAATCATCAATTATTTATCCATCCAAATTTTAAACATAATAGAATTCCATATATATCTTTTGTTTAAGCATAATCTTTTCAATATAAAAATAAGTTCCTGCAAAATAAACTATGAACAGAAAATTAGGGAGGAAAACAATCAATATTGAGCCATTTCTGATCCCTTTTCGATGCCTAAAAATCTTAAATATTTGCTTTTACATTTGAAATGTGTACTTGCATGAGTTTTTGCATTTTTAAGAAAGCGAGTTCATATAAATGGATTTTTTTTTTCATTTTTTTTGTTATAATCTGTATTTTTCCTTATTTCTTTCTTTCTGTTAATATTGTGTCATTTAATTAAGATTTTATTCTTTTTTATATTTATAAAAGCACTGCTGTTACCAATTTGTAACTCTCTCTCTTATTGATTATTTGTGTTTAATTTTTTTTTTTTTTTGTGTAGATGTTAGATTGAAAATGAAGAACACATCAAAATTTATTGGATATGGGTTATACTTTAAATGTATTCATCAGCTGATTTTTTAT